TTTCGCCTAATGTCCTCTGAATAGTCTTTTAATGGTAGTTACCAAATTGGTGCCCACTTTTTAACTGGATCGCTTTTGACTTGGCTTTAGATAGCAGTATATAAGAAAACATGCAGTAAAAGTGGCTGCAATTTTTTCACAAATAATTCATTCAATACACGTAATATTTCGCCTTTAATTTCCACAGCTGCACTGCCTCTTTTTGCGGTAGGTTTCTGTTTCTGTTTACTGATTCCACAATTTTTTCGGCATTCGTTGTCTTTTGTGTACTGCGAATAAGTAGTTGAAAAGAAACTAAACGAGGTCGGTCACCAAGCTATGCCGGTTGTTGTTTTTCCACTTATGGCAAACAATTTGTACTTTTCAAATTTTTTACCAGGTTTAAACTTTTTTGGCGTTTGTTCACAAAATCTGTTTGCTGATTAATTTCGCATAGATTTGTATTGAGTAAACTTGAAATTTGTGTGGGGTAGAACTGTAGCAAACCGTATGTATTCGTTACTTAGTAACGGGTACAGCCACTGACTCAAGGCGTATTCATATAAGGTGGTAGCCAAGGCGAATCTAACCAAAGTGGTGTTACCGAAGGCGAATTTATACAAGGTGGTGTTGATGGCGAATTAAATTTTCGCCGCGGTACTACTGAATGTCAAAATGATTGGGGTGTTCACAGTTCGTTCCAAATTGTGTCTGAAAATGTAGACGTCTACATTTTGAGACATCTTTAGCATCAAACTGTGAGCACCCCTTTCTAGCAGTGGTCGCAAAATCGTCTCAAAACTTTGCTGGTGTTGCCAGACATTTCTTCTTTGCGTGCTTTTTTATATGTCGCCTTTCGATTTTGTTTCTGTGAAAATTGTAATTATTTAACTTAATTACCAATTCCTAATATTTCTTATTTCTTTTCCTTGATTTGTTTCTTTTCATCAGAAATTGCGCTCAAATTAAATGCAAATACAGAAAACGTGCCCAATAAATAAAAAAAATTCGATTAGTATTGCCATAATGCAACCCTGCTGCGAGGTTGCAAAATGTAGACACGTAAAAAACATACCTTTGAGTGTGACAAAATGTAGACGGCGTCGTTTTCCAATTTTGTATGGGAAACAACAACACCACAGATTTTACGGTTAGAAAACGTCTTAAAATGTAGACGTCTACATTTTGAGGCACTATTTGGAACGAACTGTGAACACCCCAGATGTGTTTGTTGTAAACAAGGCGAATTCATTTTACAACAAACACATCATTTTGACATTAAGACAGCTATAATGGCTATAATGCACGGGGCGAATCGTAATAAATCGCGGCGAATTCGTAAGGATCTATTGATTTTAGATGCTTCCGTTTTACGTTACGTTCAAGTGCATTATAATCGTTCGAATTCATTGCCCATACAATAGATAATAAAGTGACAGTTCGCTCCGTTCCGTTACTTCCATTTACTCCAGGCATAAACCTTTTTCGCATTCTGTGCTCTCTTGTAACCGGTGAATTTGGTTACCATCTCATAAACTGGTAACAAAATATTGATGCAATACAGGAATTTCCACAAATCTTCATAGCTGAATTGCTGAATATTTTCACTGCATTAGTGCTCATTTACACACGGCGATTTTTGTTGCCGCAACTCGACGTTTGTAGGAGAGAGCGCGACGAGGAGAGGAGAGGGGCACCGAGTTGCTCATGCTCGGGCAACACGCTTTGTGCTCTCGTTCGTCTGTGTAAATTGATCCGCTGTTCACAGCTGACAACAACAATTGCATACAAGAATGATAGAATACAAGATTGCGCCGATCAGAGAGGATTTTTGAGAATAACTTTTGTGTGACGTCACACTGGTGCAATTGCGAGAGAGAAATGCCAAAACGTGAGCAAGAATGGAAGAAGAAGAAAAAATGTTGCACCGAATAATGTGTATATGAGTGAAAACTATCGATACTGATTACAAAACCATCGATACTATCGATAGTGTCATCTACAGGTTTCCAGCCTACAGGAAGTAGTGATGTCAGTGGCAAAAATACATCGATGTTTTTCTTTGATTCGATGCATCGAAATGTACATCGATATTTTTCGATGCATCGAAGGGTATACATCGATGCATCGATTTGCATAGGATTTTTCAGATAATGTTTCCCAACAAAATATGTTATTAGCAAAATTGTACAAAATTTGAAATAAATTACTGCAACTGAGCTAATTATGTTTCTAACGGAACTTCTTGCAGCCATTTAAATTTTTTGGCCAGTCACTTTTTTTTGAACAATTGAATAACTGGAATGACGGTTCAATGTACCGTAGATGTCAGTTTTTAAAAGACATCGATACATCGATGCATCGATACATCGTCTATTTATACATCGAGTGGAAAATTTTCGATGCATCGAAGCAAAACATCGATATTTTCGATGCATCGATGTTTTTCCGACATCCCTAACAGAAAGGTCTTTCTGGCTGTTCACTCATTGAAATAAAATTTATCTTTCTCAATTTGACAGCGTAATACGTGGAAAAGTGGAAAATATTTCCACGTCTGACACGCTCTATATTTGAGCTATTTTAGTTTTCCCAATAGATCATTGCTTGTGACCAAGACTATTTCATATTAAACTAGTCGCCAGCAATGAAAATCCATTTACAAAGGCTGACCAACACGATATTTGGATCGCGATCCATATTGATGGATTGATCGATCGCGCACGAATGCTACATGCTCAATATATATCGCGTCAGTATTCGCATAATTTTTGTTCGCTTATTATTTTGTATGAATAATTTGCAGATAATGCATTCCACAATTATTTTAAAGTTTCCCATGTTAATTAAAATGTTTTCAATTTGTTTTGAAAGGTTTTAAGCAACGAGAACGAAAGCATAGCGAATACGTTTTCGATGTTCGCATTATGAGAGTACAAGATGTACTGACGAAATGTATGGAGTGCTACACGCTCAATATTTATTGACAATATTGCGATCCGCGATCCAGATTTCAAAATTTTTAGGGCACTGTCACACGGTCAGTATTTATTGACGTGATCCAAGTATCGCGATATTTATTGACGGTGTAGCATGCAGTATTGACAAAGAACGTAATAACAAGAAGGGACAACTCGTTATAATTGTAGCGAATGTGCCCTAAGTGAAAATACTATACATCTCTTTATGCAGATTTTCTAATTTTCTCAAAGTTTTAAGAGACTGCAAGGCTTGAACCTTCTTGTTTGGCGACATTTTACAAATGAAAAAGTATGCTGTCAAATGCCCAGTCAACAAAACTCTATCTCGCTTGCGAGAGAAAAAAGCAGAACGCAAGCGAGATTTTCAAGCATGTGAAGACGGCCGGTAATGCGTTTTTTGATTGGATGAAAAGAGAATGCACGCCCCTGTTGCGCACTTTCGCCACAATTATAACGAGTTGTTCCTTCTTGTTATCCACGTTCTTTGGTATTGATGGATCGTGATCCATATCGCAAAATTTCTAA